TAAAAAACCTGTATCTGATCTTCCGCCACAAGGCTTAGGAAATACAGGTGATGGATCTTCATCGGGTAGTAGTAGTACTGGAAATGATAAACCATCAGTAGGCAATTCCGATCCTAAAATGTATGCTGGTCGTGAATCTATCTATAAATTCGATTCATCTGCTCTTGAACGAGCTGCTCACGCAGCTAAAGAACTTGAACGATCACGTATGTTAAATTTATTCCCAAAAACACATATATCAATTAAAAACAATTTCTTTCTTTTTTTTTTTCATTTAGAATACGCTAATCAAGCATTTGATGTTGTTAAAATGCAAGAACAAACAAAACAACTTGAAATTCAAAAACAAATGAAAGTAAATTTTTTAATAACAAAAATAAAGTAACTTAGAAAATTATTCTTATTTAATAGGAATATTCACAACATGAAGAAGAAATTCGTTTTAAACATCAACAACAATTAAATGAAGAAAAACGACGAATGATGAATGAAGAAACTCATCATCAAAATGAAGTATAAATTTTCTATTAATTGTTTTTTTCTCTTGTTAATTTTCATACTACTAGAGAGCAAAATTTCAAGATCAATTAGCACGTAAACGTATTCAAGATCAAGCTGCTGAACAAGTATTATAAAATATTTATCTATGTTCAATAGATATGATTTCGTTTATTTTTGTTAGGCTCGATTACAAGATGAGGAACGTCGTCGACAAGAAGACTCAGTTCGAAAACAAGAAGAAATGAAACAACGTTAGTTATATTCGTTTTTTTCAAAATTCTTTTTTCTATATCTATTGATAATGAATAATTAGGTTCAATTGAATATGCTGAACAAGTTCGTCATCAATATGAAATGAAACGTCTTGAAGCTGAATTAAAAGGCAAAGCACAAATTGAACGTGAAAATCGTGAAATTTATTTAGAACAAATTAAACTTAAAGCTGAAGAACAACGTAAAACAGTTTTAGAAAGTATTAAAACAGCAGGTAGTGTTGTTGGAACTGGTATAACAACATTACTTGAAAATCCAAGTAAAATTCTTATGGCTGTAAGTTATTTATAGTTTTCAACGATTAACAAAAAAAAAAGAATTCTTCCATCATAGACCGGTGGTATTACTTTACTTGCTCTTGGTGTTTATTCTGCACGTGGAGCTACACAAACAGCAGTCAAATATCTTGATTCACGTCTTGGTAAACCATCATTAATTCGTGAAACATCACGAACAACATTATTGTCTGCACTTCGTTCACCAGTGAAAACTATACGACGTTATTTTTCTAAAGCAGAAGATTCATTACAAGGTGTTGTACTTGAACCATCACTTGAATCACGTTTACGTGAAATAGCTATTGCAACACGATTTACAAAACGAAATTATGGTTTATTTAGAAATTTACTTATGCATGGACCACCAGGAACGGGTAAAAGAAAACACAACAAGGCTTTTTTTTGTTTCTTGTAAAAGAATTTAATCATAGTTTTTGTTTTTGATAGGTAAAACTCTATTTGCTAAGGTAAAAATTTAATGAAATGATGCAACAAAAAAAAAAACGTCAATATTTTATATAGAAATTAGCTGCTCATTCAGGTCTTGATTATGCAATAATGACTGGAGGTGATGTAGCACCATTAGGTCGTGAAGCTGTTACAGCAATACATAAAGTATTTGATTGGTCACAAACAAGTCGGCGTGGTCTTTTATTATTTATTGATGAAGCTGATGCATTTCTAAGAAAACGAGCAACTGTAAATATGAATTCAATTCGTTAAAAAGACATTTTGTTAATTTTTATAGGAAAAAATTGGTGAAGATATGCGTGCAGCATTGAATGCATTTCTTTATCGAACTGGTGAACAATCAAGTCGGTAAGTGTGAAAAAAAAAACTCATAAAAATAATTTCATTTGCATCATTTGATTTATTTTATGATTATTGTCAATTAAACTGATGTTATCATAGTTCATAGAAAATTTGTTCTTTTTTTCTAGGTTTATGTTAGTACTTGCAAGTAATGAACCTGAACAATTTGATTGGGCTGTTAATGATCGTCTTGATGAAATGGTTCAATTTAATTTACCAAATTTAGCTGAACGTCGTCGAATGACTTATCTTTATTTTGATACATATATTTTGAAATCTGCTGAACGTCGTCGGTAAATAAAATTCTTTACTTATTTGATTAAAAGAAGAATAATGAGGCCATTGAGAATATACGAGGCACTCGATAGAACAAAAAAAATGTTTCCCTTTTTTTTTTTTTGTATCCATGTCTGAAACCATCAATACCAACTTTTTACCATTATTATATCCTTATGAAAAGAAAACAACAACAAAAAAAGTACCGTCCAATGAAACCTACTAAAAGTGTTTTGAAAAATCATTAAAATTATTATGTAAGAGAAAGAGAGAGAGAGAGATGTGAACTCCATTTCGTCCCTAATATACCATTCATATTTGAATGTTCTTTTGTACCATTTTGTAGAGAATAAACAGTTGCATAATATATATACTAAATTCAGCCTGAAGCTCTCTGATTCTGAATCCTGATACGAGATAGATTGTTATTTAAGTGGACATCTTAGACTCCTTAAAAAAAACCATTTTTCATTCATATAAAAACTTTTAAATGATTCATTGTTTTTTTTTTACATAAGCGGATATGATAATGGTAAAAGGTCGGCATTGATTAACTTTTGAAAGAAAGGCTATCGGAAGCTAAAACTTTCGGTTTGATGGTTTCGGATATCGTTGCATAAAAAACATCAAGGATTTTTTTTTTGTTGAGTAGTGCTTCGTATATTCAATGATCTCATAATTTCTCTATTAAAATCACGAAAATTCTTCCGTTGTTTAGTCCAATTAAAATTGGCCCATTTGATTTTGAAAAAAAATGTGAAGAGTTAGCTCAACGTACTGATGGATTTTCTGGTCGTGAAATCGCTAAATTACTTGCTGCTTGTCAAGTGAGTTTACTTCATTTTACAAAAAAAAAAAAAAAAAAAAAAAATCTATGTATACATAATTTTCGTTTTTTGGTTATTTTAGGCATCTGCATATGCTTCTGAAGATGGAACATTAACAGAAGAAATGATAGATAAAAAATTAAGAGATTCACTTGAAAGTCATCGTAAAAAAGTTGAATGGCGTGCGGAAGAAGAACGTTAAAAAAAACAAAGCATTCTTTTTTAGGCTAATTTTCTTTTGTATGCTCATTGCAGTGATTTCATAGTGTCTTTTGTTTTTGTTTTTCATATAAAAACAATAAAACATTAGTAGTTTTCCGTAAAAAGAAATGAAAACAAAGTCGTTTTTTTTTTGTTTTCTTTCAGATGTTATCAAGTCCGACTTATATTGATCATGGTCCTGGAACTAGTCCAATTTATTACACAACAACATCATCTCCATTAATACAACAAACAAATCCAGTAGGATCTTTTCCTCTTTGTTTTTTTTGGCTTTACGCCTTCGATCTTGTTATATGTAAAATAACAAAAAAAGAATTATATAACAATGATTAGAAAATAAGCTGAAAAGACGTTTTAGTCATTTTCTTTTTTATATTTGTCATTGTATTCTGTCATGTTCTCTGTTGTCTCAGATGAATTATGAATTGAATGCAAGATCGAACTTTTTGCTGAATGTGTCGAGAGTATAGGAAAAGGAAAAACTAGAAAGAGAAACAGTCAATCCAATGCGCATGAGAGTTTTTCTTTTTACAATATTAGAAAAGTGGAAACAAAACGCCAACATCCAAAGAGAAGAGAGGCAAAGGCAGCAGCACGCTATTTCATCGTCTTCTATAGTTTGTTTCATTTAACACTGAGTATTAGACATGGTCATTAACCTAGAAGAATTTGACAATACTACTATTCCATCAAACGCAACTAACAATCTTGGGGTAAAAAAAAATGTTTTTTTTTTGTTTCTTGCGATGTTGTGTCATATTTTTATTTTATTATTGATTAAACTGAAGGAAAATTTGGCGCTCTAAAGTTATGTATAATAAACAGAGTTCTATATGTAAAAGAAACTCATTTGATTGATATACGATAGCTGACTTTAGCTGTTAAATAAATTGTTTTTTGTGTACTGTAGTAATGCGAGTTTAATCATATTTATCTTTCAAAAAAAAAAATCTTATTTGCAAAGAAAATGAGAAGCTGCATGTGCCTTTATATATTTCATGAGAATTGAGACAGATGATGGAATTTAAAGGATCTAGTTCTATATATGCAACGATTAGATAAGTAGTTATTTTGCTTAAGATTCAAATAATTCTATGAATACGATTATGGTATCTTATGATTTTATTAGAACATTTTCGTTAGTTTTAAGAACAATGAACTGAAGAAACGGATTGTGCGCCATGGATTGGTTTATAAATTTTAGTTGTGCACATAAGAATAGCATCTGATGAAAATGGACGAGCTGTGAAAACAATACGATAGTTGATTCCATTAACAACTTGAGTTGCTACACTAACAATATTGAATGGTGATACAGCAAGATTTTGTGATTTTTCTAATTCACTAGTTGCTAATCTGACCATATCTCGTGTAACTGGACTTTTAATAAGATCAGGTCGATCTGTAAAACCACCAACAAGTTGACCTTGAATGGCAAGGAATAATGATAAAGCAATGATGAGTTTAAACATTATTGTTTTCAAGCTTATTCAAATCAAATCTTGAGAAGTTAAAAAAAAAAACAAGAAACAAATAGATTTTATATAGGTAGGATATATCACATGAGAACTAAAGCAGATGGTGGACTTAGGATATTTATTTTTGTCTTTGCCCTTATGGAATATGATTTATTAGTTTGTTAGGGTCTATTGTGACTTACTTAATAGTACATTACTTTTTCCTTTTTTTTTTTTTTTTGCTTAAATTATTGCGCTTCATTTTCCTTCTGTCTATTGTTAAATAAAAATAATATAAATGTCTTCTTTATATATACATAATAACTGGAATTTATCATATGAGCAGAAACTTGTGTGTGCGTGTGTGTGACAATGTCATTTTTGACATTTTTGTTTTTATACAATTCAATTGAGACATTAAAATATATGAAAATTCTCATTGTTTTTTTGTTCATCATAATTATCAATTCATAGATTGACTTATTTTAAACATATTATTTGATTGATTGATGATAGGCCTTTGTATTGAGATAATTATATATGAATACGATCTTGTCCAATTAGATGTCTAAATCGTCTTGTGTATATAACTTCTGCTGTTTTTATTCGTATACAGCAACCAAAAAAAAAAATAACAATCATTGTTTTTTCCAGATGGTTCAAACATTTTGTTTTTCTCTCTCTTGATTATTCTATGATATGATTATCATTGCTTGTATATCATATTCTGTTATTTGCCATATCATCAACTACAAAGAAGCACATACATGCTTCGGTAAAAACATAGACAGAAAAAGAGAAAGAGTTGGTAAATGGATCTTATCGTTGCTCCTATTATTGACATAGAAAAAGAGAAAGAAAGACAAAACAATCGCAGCTCAATACATACATATAATATAGTCAATAGAGGGTACTTTTACCTTCACTTAATAAAATATACGAAGTGCTACAATTGTTCCTACTTAATGATATATATATCTATGCATAGTTGCATTTTAATATCAATGTTGAAATGACTCATTTCAAATCCCGATTAACAACAGTAAGTAACAATAGCTAATTTAATGCATGCATGCATATACATCAGTCTATGTCAGTATTTATTGATCGGCGCTTTTTCTTTTTATATGAATTCAAAATATAACACTTATATAATTGATTCTACCTTAGGGAACTATTCAATCAATTAGTCATTTTTCTTTTTGCTTCATTTATATTTTGTTACAAGATGAGAAAAAGTTGATCGTTCGATCAATAGACATTTCTTTCTAACAACTATTGTAAATAAAAAGAAAAGATAAAGATAGGTTCTAATGAAATTATGCGACTATTGAATGTCGTCGTTATTGCTCTCTCTTCATCATCACACTGTATTGTAATAATCGTCTCCGTATGTCTCTTACTCCTACTACTCTACTTGTCGTTTCAGCCTATTGATTTTAGTTACTATTCAATACTAGCACAGCATTGTGGCTTGCGTTCTCTCTCTCTCTTTCCCTCTTACGAATCATTCTATATTTAATCCAAGTGGGAAGTGTAAGAGCGAAAAGAAAGATAGACAAGCGAATCGAACAAGAAGATGATGAGAAAAGAAGAGTCGTCCTACGACTAGCCGTTACTGCTTTGCTCGGCTTGTGTCAACAGATGATGACGGATGATTATTAACAACAACGTTGCAAGACGTCAAGCAGCGTTATTTGAAGAGCTCAAGAACGAAACGATAAAAAAGAATTGCTTGTTTTGCATCTACTAGTATTTGATGCTAGATCGGTTGTTATTACTCTTCGAAGATAGTAAAAGCGAGTAGTGTCATGTTTTGAATAACTATTTGACACACAAAGAAATGTCTACTCAATCAACAAAAGAAAATCGTGCTGTACCAATATCCCGTCCATCAAGTATCAAACTACCTCCATTGCCTGCAGTTAACTATCCGCAATATAATCAAGTGAGCATGAGAATGAATGAATGAATGTGCACTTTTCTTCTACTAACATTAAATTACACGCTTAGTTTGTATACACATGCACACACACACAGACACCTTCGATAAAACATTTTGAATGACTTCTCTTTCTTATTATTCTAATTCTATTGTATGAAAATAAATGAACGAAAAAAGAAAAAGAAGCCTGATAGATTATTTTATAAAAAAAAATAAATGAAAAACATCTATCTAACCAGTATAGAAATGGTGTCATCGTTCCTATCAGCATAAATAATTGTATTATACAAGTTACGAACGAGAAAGACACCCTAGACCTCTTCATAATCATCATTTATTTTCTATTCGTTTAGAATGTAAAGAAAGATATTTCCCTTGACACTATTCGTATATGCATTCTCTATTTGCATTTAGCGACATTTCTCGCTCTGTTGATATCTATCTGCTTGATGAAATAGAAAACGAGAAATCATTTGAGATTTTCAATGATTCTTGAAAAAAATCAAGCAAGATAAGGAAAATGACATTCATTAAAATAAATATTAGTTTTTAATGTTAAATAAAAAAAATGGTTTCATCACACATTTCTTTACATGGATTGTTATTAAAAATCATTATCTTATAATTGAATATTTAGCATATCCTTCCTTCTTTTCTTTCGATCATACAGATGTTACATTCTTTTATTTTTTAGATTCTTCTTTTTTTCTATATTTTTTTTTGTTCTTTCTAACATCCGGTTGGTCGAAAGCGGATGTTACATTTGCCTTTGAGTTCAATTTCTTCGTGATAGAAAAGAGAGAAGGCGAGATGAAAATATGTGTGTGTGTGTGTGTGTGTGCTCTATCATCACAAAAAGTGGGCCCTAACGAGAAAAAAAAGAACGAATGAAGAGTACAACAATAATAATAAAAGAAAAATAGAAGCGTGTGCGTTCGTCATGTTCACACGCTCATGATGCTTTTGTCTGTCTATCTGACTTCATTGACGAGAGCAATACTGCCACAAATTTTTTCATTCTTTCTCTTTGATTTGTACTAATTGTTTGTTTCTAGAGATATATACATTTGTACATTTTAATCTTTTTGTGATTACATTCAGATACGCAACAAATAAAAAGAAAAACGAAACTTCGTAAATGTCAATCTTTTTGTTTTTTACAAAATGACAGCGGTATGTGACGTGTTGTTTTATATTGATTAAATCTATTTTTCACATCTTTTTCTAATCGGTCAAAAGGGCAACTACAATATCTTTCTTGATGAAGGACATTTATTTATTTTTGTTGGCACGTTTATATAGCCATCGGTCATACATCCGTTTTTCTAATATAACACTTGTTGTTTTAGCCTTTATTTCATTGTCTCGTTAGTTAATCAGTCTAGATGTATGATAAATGCATTTAGATAGAAAACATCATACGATAGGTTCATTTAGTAATCATCATGTTACTAATGATTGCTTGTTCTATGTATGTTTTCTTCTCTCTTCTATTGTTAAGGATATTTTTTTTGTGGGAATGGTCGTCAATTTGGTATTTCTACATATATTAGGAAAAAAAAAGAGAGATAGACATAGTGCATCAATATAGAAGAAATCGAGGTTTATACACTAGTTTCTTCTTCTTCTCTTTGTCGGAGAGTGTCGTCTCATTTGTTACGACGACAACAATTGGACATAAGAGTATTCAATATTTGTTCATTGAAGAGAAGATTGCTATTATGGGTCGACATATGTCGAATAATATTCGATGCACCTTCGTGAGTAATGCTTCACTAATCAAGAATTTTTTTAAATTTTATTTTATTTCTTTTTGTTTATTTGATTGATAATATTTCTTATAGAATAATACAAAAAAAAAAGCATATTGTATTAATGAATAACAAATGATTGCCTTTTGGGAAATAATAAATATCTAAATCGTGTAATTTAGCATTAAGTTTCTTATTTGTTGACTTACGCCTTAAACGGAAAATATACACAAATAAGTCAATACAATAAACAACGTTAAAGATATGAATGTATGTGTCAGGTTTTTCTTGCAAAAAAAAAAACCTATTTTATATAGCCTGAATCTATATGAGTGCCAATAGATCAAGATTGAATATGTCTGTCAAGACATTTATACGTGTCGACATGTGTATATGATAAAAAAAAAAGGTTGATGCTTGTCTATTCATTATTAGACTATATGATGATGAGAACAAAGATGTTCATTATTCATTTTTATCGTGGTAGATATCAATATTAATTTATATTTTTAGTCTGATGGAAATTCGGGATTTTTACGTGCGGCACGAGCAGGAAATCTCGAGAAGGTTTTGGAATACCTTCGTTCATCTATTGATATAAATACAAGCAATGCTGTATGTATATTACTTATTGAAAAGAATAATAATCAAAATAAAACTATTTTGTTGTTTATTTTAGAATGGATTAAATGCATTACATTTAGCATCCAAGTATATGTTCTATGAGAAATAATACTCTACAATTATATATGAGTTTTTTTTCTTGTCTCTAGAGAGGGTCATGTAAATATTGTCCAAGAGCTTCTTTCGCGTGGTGCCAATGTTAATTCAGCGACGAAGGTCTTTCGATATATCAAAAAGAAAATGATAATCTATTAATCATATGAATTTGTTTTTTTTGTTTAGAAAGGAAATACAGCTCTTCATATTGCATCATTGGCTGGTCAGGAAGAAGTTGTCAAACTTTTAGTTAAATATAATGCTAATATTAATTGTCAATCACAAAATGGTTTTTCTCCTTTGTATATGGCTGCACGTATGTATTGCTTCAAGATAAATATGATTGATGATATGATATGTTTGATTAATTGTAGAGGAGAATCATATTGAAGTAGTGAAATTTCTGCTTGCTAATGGCGCTAATCAAAGTTTAGCTACAGAGGTAAATCTTTGTTTGTTTTTTTTCCTTACTGAGTAGTTTATTCTCTTTCGAATGAATAATGATTTTATTTAAAGGATGGTTTTACACCTTTGGCTGTTAGCCTTCAACAAGGTCATGATAAAGTGGTAGCTATTCTGTTGGAAAATGATTCAAAAGGTTCAAAAGTACGTCTGCCCGCATTACATATTGCTGCAAAGAAGAACGATACAAAAGCTGCCGCCTTACTTTTACAAGGTGAAACTCAACCGGATCTTAATTATAAGGTATATATAAATATTAATGAGTAAATAAAATTTGTGTGAACAAATTCGGAGATAATTAGGAAGGAGGATTTGTCAATTGTACAACAAAGGTTTGTTGATAAATATTTCCATGGTGTCTGTTTGCGTCTTTTCTTTTATTATTGTTGTTCGCTAATGGTGATTCCATTTTTTGTTGTTGTTGTTGTTTTTATTCTTTCTTATTTTTCTCTTTTTCAGCTTGGCAGAGTAAGCATAATTATATTCATTTTATAAATATATAACTAATCCATTACTAATTTCAATAGTTAGAAATATCCGATCATTGTTTTCAAAAAAAAATCAATCCGGAGTAGTTTATTTTGCATGCATTTTTAGAAGAAAAAAAAAAGCCATAATAAATGATTGATCAACAATGATATTTATGTGTTTGTTTGTTTTTTTTATTAGTCCGGATTTACTCCATTACATATCGCAGCTCATTATGGAAATTTGGAAGTGGCACAATTATTAATTACTCGTGGTGCTGATGTTAATTATGCAGCAAGTGTAAGAAAAAAAAATTTAACTAGACTTAAAATTAGAGTATACTTGTACTCGATTATTTTATTTCCATTGAATCATAATAAATAATTAGAAAAATCAAAGCAAAAACAAACGAAATAAAAATTTCTACACTTTATTTTGCTTGGTAGTAGTATAGATAAAATCGAAATTGTTTTGGTAGTGTTCGTTGAAAAGAAACGATGACAAATAGGGGTTTGGTAATTTCCATCAAGCCATATCTGGTTACTAGGGCCTGTCGGATTCAAAATTTTCGGATCCCGGACCAGTTTATTGGACGTTTTAGGGACCCGGATCCAGTTGAATGAAATTTTCTAATCGGAATTGGGCAATCATTCCGAAGACACAAAATATTTTTTTCCGGATTTTTTGTATTAGATGACTAGCGTACCCTACATAGTTCTTAAACGACTAGAATAGAGAACTGTGGGACGACCTTTTTTTGGTACCGGTATCAGCTAAAATTTTTTTTGTTGCTTCTGATCCTAATTTTGTTTCTAGTACAAAAACACTTTTAATAATCTGTATGATTCTTTGAATACATATAAAATTAACATTGATGATTTTAAGAAATTAATCGTATGAGCATACCTTTATATGGATGCATCAGAACTAGGGGAATACACAAAACCACTTGTTTTGTCTCATTCAAAATTTTCCTTGGTTCTGGTCATGTGACTTAGAAAATTCTCTCAGAGCTCACAGTTCTTGCATAGATAAAAAATGTAAATGAGTGATCTTCAATCGATGTTTCCTCAAGAGTCACTTTGATAGTATCAAAATTTAGGATATACAGAATTATAGGTACTATTTTTAGTAGGAATCTTCAAGATGGTTCCGATCCAGGATCGAAAAAAAGTGATTTTGCAGATCTATGCTTCTATCACAATCATAAAAAAACGGTTGATTTATAATCAGAAGAAAATAATAAGTATGACAATATGTAGTCTAGTTCTTAAATAGAAAATATACTTGGACCATTTTGCAGATCTCTAGACTAAAACTCGTCGAGTTGATCTTGAATCCGACAGACTCTACTAGTTACATGGTGTTTGAGATTATGTCTTTCTGAAGGCATCTTCGTATTTATGACAAATGAACTGATGTCCTTTTTTTCATTTGATGTTAAGGACGAAACTTTCGACAATTGAATAGATCCAGTTAGTGAAAATTTTCATCTAGATTTGCTGATTTAAAATGTGGAAATTATTATATGATTTGTGCTAGTCTATTAATTAATTTATTTCTTTTCTAGCAAAATATAACACCATTACATGTCGCATCAAAATGGGGTAAAGAAAATATTGTTAAATTATTACTTGAAAAAGGCGCACAAATTGATGCTAAAACAAAAGATGGCCTTAGTAAGTTTGATGAATTTGTTTTTTCATAGTGAATATGCATGGTTTTATTTTTTGTGTTATATTAGCACCACTTCATTGTGCTGCTCGATCAGGTCATGATCAGGTAGTTGATTTATTACTTGAAAGTGGTGCTCCATTTGGTGCAAAAACTAAAAATGGTCTCTCAGCACTTCATATGGGTAAATTAATATAATAATTATAATTTTTTGTTCGAAATCAATAGAATTTATATTTTAGCTGCACAAGGTGATCATGTTGATGCAGCACGTATTTTACTGTATTATAAATCTACATTAGTCGATGACGTTAGTTCGGTTCGTTAATATTCTAAATAAATTTAAAAAAAAACATTCTTTTATATTGATTCTATTTTTTAAAAAAGGATTATCTTTCGGCTTTACATGTTGCATCTCATTGTGGAAATTATAATGTTGCTAAACTTTTATGTGAACGTCGTGCTGATGTTAATGCTAAAGCTTTAAATGGTTTTTCATGTTTACATATAGCATGTAAAAAAAATCGTTTAAAATTAGTTGAATTATTAATAGCTAATGATGCTGATATTGAAGCTCGAACAGAATCAGGTTTAACTAGTTTACATGTTGCAGCATTTGTTGGTAGTCATGATATTGTTATTTATTTATTACAACATGGAGCTGATATTGATGCAGTAACGATACGTGGTGAAACACCATTACATTTAGCAACACGTAATAATCAAGTTGAAATTGTTCAAACATTACTTCATTATGGTGCAACAGTTGATGCTAAAGCTAAAGAAGCACAAACATGTTTACATTTAGCAACACGTTTGGGAAATATTGAAATTGTTAATTTATTATTAAAAGCTAATGCATTTGTTGATAATGAAACAAAAGATGGATATTCAAGTTTACATATTGCTGCTAAAGAAGGACATGAAGAAATAGCTAGTTTATTAATTGATCATGGAGCTAATTTAAATTTATTCACTAAAGTAAAAAAGTTATTTTTCAAAAAAAAAAGAAAAATAAAACAAAAATTCATTTTTTTTTGTTTTCTAGAGAAATTTTTCAGCATTACATATCTGTAGTAAATATGGTAATATTAAAGTTGCTAATCTTCTTCTACAAAAAGGCGCTACACCAGATATTCAAGGCAAAGTATGTAATTATCAAATATGAATATTTTGTTTTTTAAAATTTTTAAAATTTAGAATGATTTAACACCATTACATTGTGCTGTTCATTATAATCATAGTAATATTGCATTACTTTTATTACAACATGGTGCTAGTCCACATGTAACAGCACGTAATGGTTATACGCCATTACATATAGCTGCAAAAAAAAATGCTCTTGATATTGCTGAAATGTTATTAGAATATAATGCTAATACAAATGCTCAATCAACGGGTGGTTTTACACCATTACATTTAAGTTGTCAAGATGGTCATTCTGATATGACTTATCTTCTTTTAGCTAATCATGCCGATCCAAATATAGCATCAAAATGTCATTTAACACCATTACATTTATGTGCACAAGAAGATCGAGTTAAATGTGCTGAAGCATTAGTCAATAAAAATGCTGATATTAATGCACAGACACTTGTAAGTAAACGATTCTTAGATTTAAAAGTTTACCTTCATTACAAGGCCATGGGTTTTCGAAAATCCAGTGAATTTTCATAATAATGAGCACGCCATAAATAATGCTGCTATTGGTATTTTCTGTTTATATTATCCACTTTTGTCAGTAGAAAACTACTCTTGGTTTCAAACGATTCACTGTTTCAATTCTTTATAAAATCATATGAGATTATTAGATCTAATCTTTAAAGTTGGCGAGAGAATCGAAGAATATTGAGCTTCTTCGATATATACCGAATTCTTGAAATGATCAGAGATATCCATGGCGTCACGGCAGCAGCAGATTCTCAGCCGTGATGGATATCTATGTTAATGATGGTTTCCAAACCATTTGCAATTTTGCTTTTGACGGATGAGGCATGATATAGAAACTTTATTGGGGAAACAGCTGCAGCTCTGTGTTGTTATGCACAATGACGGGTATTTCCAAATAGAGATGGAACCAGTAAAATTTGGTTCGATTCGGTCTCTGTTTTCAAAGAACATTATGACACAGAAAAGAGTTTATTTTCATTGAGTACAAGCTTTAGATTTTATCATAAGTATCGTTAAAGACTTCCAGACGATAGATAAATATCCCCTGAAAAGCTCCGAACAAGAGTTGTTATATGTTAAAAATGGATAGACTAAGAAAGGACTAAAGGATTCGGACCTATGGCCTTATTGATGAAGAGTTATGGCCGTTGTACTGAATTTTAAGCATGTGGCAAGGGATTTTCGAAACAATCAAATTAAAGAATTTCAGTCTAAAATTTTGTCTACAGATGGATCTAATAGTTCTTAGAATCACCTGGAAATTTCAGCCAAAACGAATGTTCCTTTCTTGAGATATTGAATTTTCAAATAAACTCAGTGTTTTTGCGATTTGTCTCTGAAAAGTGATTATTTTTTTGAAAATTCAAGATCTCAAGAAAGGAACATTCGTTTTGACTGAAACTTTCAGACGATTCTAAGAAATATTAGACCTATCTACAGGCTAAATTCCAGGTCGAAATTCTTTAATTCAATTGTTTCGGAAATCCTTTGTCACAGGCCCAAAACATTGATATTGTTCTAGAGCGGTTATACAAGTTTACATGTTGCTTGCCATTTTGGTCAAATCAATATGGTTCGTTATTTACTTAAACTTGGAGCCAATGTTAATATTGAAACAAATGTAAGACTATATTTATTCATTTATTTTTCTTGATTCTAAATTATTTTTGTTTTTCTCTTTGCTTTATTAAGCTCATGTTTACACCACTTCATTCAGCTGCTCAACAAGGTCATGTTATGATTGTTAAATTATTACTTGAATATGGTGCATCACCAAATAAAACAAATAAAGTAAGATTTTAGAATATTAATTTTTTTTTTGTTTTTTGAAAAAGAAAACCTATCTTATAGCATGGAATGACAGCTTTATCAATTGCACAACGTCTTGGTTATATATCTGTTGTTGAAGAACTTAAAGTTGTTACTGAAACAACAATAGCTAGTAAACATGAATTAATAACTGAAGAGCGTTATAAGGTAAATAATTAAATAAATTCATTTCTTTTTTTGTTTTTATTTTGAATTTTGAATTTTAGATTCAAGCACCAGAAGTTTCACATGAAGAACATCCATTAACTGATTCGGAAGATGAAACAGGTAAATCTTTTAAGACCAACAAAAAAAAAAAAAGATTTAATAGCAAAAAAAATATATTCGCATCAGCTTCTCTAGCTGAAGATAATATTGAAGTAATTTATCCTGAGATTGGATATTTTGCATCGGCAAACACTATTGACAATGTTAAAATACATAAAAAGTCGACTAAAGGTAGCCATATATCTGTATTTCCCTATTTGCCTGTCAACGAATGTATATAAGAAGATGATGTCTTGTACCCTTGCGGATGCGTGCGCATGACTAATACTAATATCATAGCATATAAATTTGTTTATATATATATATATATGTACATATTGATTATTGATGAATATTTAGATATGCTTGGTGATGCTAGTTCAAATGTTCATATGCAATATTTACGTGAAGGTGTTTTAATGACTGAAGCTGAAGAAAATAAACTTAATCAAACATCATTTATTAAAGTAGAAAAAATATTCGTTAAGATTTTTTTTTTTCTATGATTATTCCTTTTTTTTTTCTTTAGGAAGAGACAGAATATCCAATGTTAGCAGCAAAAGATCATTGGACAGAAAGTCGAGATAATTTACATGATCAACCAACACCATCAATAGCACCACAAACTATTGTTGCTGATAATGAAACAATTACAAGACCACGTCATGGAGGGTATGTGTTTTTTTTTGAAGTTTTTTTTTGCTTGTGAAAAGCTTGTATATGATTGTTTGTTACCATGTGCGTGTGCAGTGTATTGATTTACTTTACATATATTTTTTCTAGGGATCGTTTTCAGTATCGATCGTAAGTGCTTGCATGTTTAGTTACTTTATTAGATAAACCTTCTTAGATTGATTAATTTGTTTATTTTTCTTTATATATATACATATATTTATAATTGTTTATATGTATGTATAGATTTTTGGTAAGCTTTTTGGTTGATGCTCGTGGTGGTGCAATGCGTGGTTGTCGACATTCAGGTGTACGAGTTATAATTCCATCAAAACGTGCTAGTATGCCAACACGAATAACATGTCGATTTGTTAAACGTGAGAAATTAACGATGCCACCACCATTAAATGAAGGTGAAGCATTAGCAGCACGTGTTTTGGAAGTTGGACCTGTTGCTTGCAAATTTCTTGGGTAAGAATATTAGTTACAAATAATTCATAGAAATACATGGTTTTAATTAATTCCAATTTTTTTCAAAAAGATGTTAAACAAGAAGTTCCACTAATTCTCGAGTAGAGATGTGCGGAATCAGTGGTTTTGGAAAAAAATTTATCCGAACTGGAACTTCAAAATATTTTATGGTTTTTAGTGGATCATATCAATCAGAGCATAATTCAAGAGAGACAGCCCAAAATAATGCTAGTCGTCAACTAAATAAATTAAAATAAGAGTATTGAAGAATTTTTTAGATATGATGCGAATAAATTTTGAAATAGATTTCTTCAGACCGGAGCCAGAACTGGAACCGGAATCACTAGAAAAGAAGCTACCAGAACCGGAGCTACTAGAAAAGAAGCTGTCGGAATCGGAACCACTCGGAAAGAAGCTATCTGAACCCGGAGTCATTAGACAAGAGATCATCCGGACCGGAACCACTAGAGAAGAAACTATCGGGACCAGGATCCCTAGAAAAGAAACTACCGGAACTGAAGCTACTAGAAAGAAAAGAGGCTGCCGTAATCGGAACCACTAGAAAAGTAGCTACCAGGATTGGAGTCACTAGAAAAGATACTATTAGAATTGGGCCTAGAGCAGGTTTACTGAAACTATGGCCAAGACTTGGAACCAAAAAACCTTGATCGCGCTTGTCTCTACTCTGGGATGGAATTGAAAGATTGAAAACTTTACAGTTTTGATGGAGAAACAAAACACAGAGACAAATATAATTTTGAGGAAAAAAGATATTTAAAGAGAGAATTATCATTATATTGAGAAAACTCTGTGTTTTAGTCTATGTAGTTTCGAAGAAAAGTTTTTTTTTAGAATTACTTTTTTTTTAGCAAGTTTGATAATTCAGAAATAGTAAATTGTTTGGACATATATAATAATCAATTAATAATTTATTTTAGACCTGTTATTCTTGAAATACCACATTTTGCTTCATTACGTAATCGTGAACGTGAAATTGTTGTTTTACGAAGTGATAATGGTGAAAAATGGACTGAACATACAGGTCCAACAACAGATGAAGCAGTACGTGAAGTACTTGGCGATATTGTTGATTCTGAAGGTAAATTTTTTTTATAAGTAAAAATGTAATTTTTCTTTTGTTTTTTTAAAGATTTAGATAATGCTGAAGAACTTCTTTCACGACGAATAACACGTATTATAACAAATGATTTTCCTCGTTATTTTGCATTAATAACACGTGTTCGTCAAGAAGCACATTTTATTGATGAACAAGGTGGTTTATTAATATCATCAATAATGTCAACTATTCAAGCACATATACCAGAAAAAGCCTTACAAAAACGTATTCGAATATCACTTCATGTTTTACCAATATCATCTCAATTAGTTCAACGTTCATATGGTTCACGTGTTAATGTAAGTCCTGTTGTTACTGTTGAACCACGTCGTCGTAAATTTCATAAACCAATAACATTAACAATACCATTACCAACTAAATCATCATCAGCAAGAAAATATTCTCATCAACAACAACAACAACAACAACAACAACATGCAAATGCATATACAAGTGATTCTCAAACATTACGTTTATTATGTAGTATAACGGGTGGTACACATGCTGCACAATTTGATGATATTACAGGACATACACCATTAACATTTTCAAATGATTGTGCCACATTTACAACAACAGTTTCAGCTCGGTAAAAAAAAATAAATAAAATTTTAATTTTGTAACATCAAAATATTGTTGTTGTTTTTTTGTTTTTCAAAAAGATTTTGGTTAATCGATGCACAAGGTATACCAGATGTATTAAAATTAGCACATGAAATCTATCGTGAAGCTATATTAGTTCCATATATGTCACGTTTTATTGTATTTGCTAAACGACATGATATAAATGAAGCACTTGTTCGTTTATTTTGTATAACAGATGATAAAGAAAATAAAACACTTGAAATGCAAGAACACTTTACTGAAATAGCTAAATCAAAAGAAGTTGAAGTTGTTAATGGAAATTCTATATATATCGATTTACAATCAAATAATTTACAAACAATTATAAAAACAAATGAACAATTAACATTAGTATTTCGTGCATTTAAAGAAAATCGTTTACCATGTGTTGTTCGTATACGTGATTCAGAACAAGAACCATCAGGACGTTTAGTTTTTTCAAAAGATTATGGAAAATTAACATCTATACAACGAACAACATCAATTACAATGACTAATGGACAACCATCATCATTATCATCAACAACAATTATTGATCCACAAACATTACAAACAATTTGTAATTTAAATATTATTATACCAGCTTATGATAAAGTAAAATAATATATTGAATTAACATACAAATATATATATATATGTATCATTTTGTTTTGTTTTAGGATTTACTTGAGGTAGAATTTCATATTGTTGGTTTTTTTTGGGGGGGAAAGGTAATTTGAATATTTGTTTGAATTTAGAGCGAAGAGCGTCTTCGAGCTTTACATTCTATTGAACATGATCGTCATTCGGAAAGTAAGAATTTCTTGGTTTTTTTTGCTAATTGAAATTCATATGTGTTCTTTTTTTATATTTAGGTTGGAAATCGGATGATATGTATCGAAAAGGTGAAATACGTTTAACTGATATTGCACGATTACTTGGAAGTGATTGGCCAGCACTTGCTGCTGAACTTGAATTAAGTGAAGATGAAGTTACAAAAATTATGGATGAATTTGGAGAAAATGCTTCATTACAAATGTTACGTTATTGGCTTAAATCACGAGGAAGTGAAGCAACAGGTACACAAAAGTCTATTTTGTTCAATCGTTGTTAAGTTGGGGTGTGAGTGTAGATGTGGCTATTACCATAGTGGTATCTTATGATAGGAACAACGACAAGATTTAAAACATTCCTCGTACAAAATTGTAGATCGATTTTTTTTAGAGGCTCCTATTCGAACGACACATTCGATATAAAGTAAAGCTTTCGATTCGCTGAAAAATTTGACTATCTACTCCAAATAACAAAGTATTATCGTTAAATTACTATTCATTATCTTTACTATTGTCTGATTCAAAATAAAAGG